TAATTTTTTTTTATAAATATATTCTATAAATCTTCAAATATTAAATATATTTATTTAATTGTAAGTTAATATGTAAAGTTTTGTGTAATTACATTTTAATTCAAATGTATCAAGTTGGTGTATCATGCTTAATGAGACGACCAATAGGCTTATAGATTTTTTATGTTTTTCTTAGTGATAGGAAAAAAGTTTACCTGATTTTATATAATAATCACTCCAATTTCTTATGCATCTAGACATATAATCGTCTTTATTCCATAATGTTTGTACAGTCTGGAGGCTAGCATTTATCTTGCCTTGTTCATTTAATAATAATTGGATATATCTGCTTATGCTTAATAAGTGTAAGAAATCATATGTTAATATATTGTTCTTTGATGATTTTTTTATTTGATACTGCTTATTAATATCTTCTAAATGTATATGTAGAATTGAAGCAGTATCAGCAAGTGGCGGAGAGCTTTGTAGAGTTTCATGGGATGATTGTGATAATAATATATTACTTGATACTTTAACATCAAGTAACATATTATTCAATGATTTATCATTGAGTAACATATTACTTGATACTTCGAAATTACTTTATAATTCAGAATTGCTTGATGCTTCAGTATTAGGTAAATTACTTGATACTAGAGTATCAAATAATATATTACTCAATGATTTATTATTGAATAACATACTACTTGATGTTTTAATAGCAAATATTCTATTATCATTTATGTTTTTTTCCTTATCTTTTTCTAGTTTTTTCTTATTTCGCCTCCAAATCATAGTTCTTGAATTTTTGGAATATCTTTTTTTCACTTTTCTTAATATGGATACATTTTGTGCTTCGATAGCTTCTTGTGCTTCCTCTTGAGATATGAAGTAATCTTGTTTTTTGGGTAAATTATTAACTTGTTTTTGTCTTTTTGATATATGTGGCATAGTGAATTAATCAGATATAGTTTATTTACAAGATCATTTTTTCACTAAGCAAAAATGTCTCAAAGTTCAAAAGCTCAAAGCTATTCAAAGCTATTCCAAACTTAGATACTTCCCTATTTGGGATTGATACCTTTATTATTACTAATTGCTATTGATTACTACATTGTTTATACAATCACTATTTTAACTTTTAATTAATTCTATGCAAACCCAAATTATGCTATTTATATAAATTCTGATCTAATCATGGATTATGATATCTAACCCTTGTGTTATAATTCCCAAGGCTCCAAAGTTGACCACAATATATATCATATTAAGACCAATACTTTGATAGAGACAATGTAACTTGAGGTTTCAGATATTATATAATTATAAAACACTTAATTCAAGTGATTACTCTTTAAGATTCATGTATATATTTAGAAGTTTTAATCTAAATGAATTATGAATCAATTTTAGTTCACCTCTCACAACATATATAAAGGAACAAATTTGAAGGAACTAAATTTGTTATAAAAGGTATGAGTAGTATTTTTAAACACCTTATTTAATTTATTAGAAGCAAAATTTTAATTAATTAGAAATTGAATAATTAACTAATAAGTATAATTTTATTAATAAAATTTTAGATACAGTAAGTTTTTTTTCTTTGGAGTTACTCAGATTGGCAAAATTTAAAATTTGCATTTCTTATAATGATTTTTGAATTTTTAACAAATCACTATATGGAACCCTTCAATTAACTGTAATTAATCACTTCAATTAATCGCATTAACTAAGAAAATGAGCCATATTTACTACTCTATCGAATATCATTGCATTAGCTTATGAACTTTAGATTAAAGTCACATGTCTATTATATAGTAAATTATTAATTGTACAAATTAGTTTTATACGTTTGTAATATTATTAGATTATTTAGGCAACTGTGTACAAAAAAATTATGAACTTTTTTTGATTTGCACTAGCCAATCGGATACTTCACCCTGTTTTAATTTTGAAAAAACATAGTAACTTTAAAATGCATCAACTTTTTATAGAAGCAATATTTTAAAAATCTAACTAGTAACTTTGTTTTTTATAGTGAGCTCTACAAAGTTACTGGTCAATTTTTTGAAATATTGCTTCTATAAAAAGTTGATGTATTTTAAAGTTATTATATTTTTCTGACTACATGATTGTCAAGTATAGGCTTCCAGCACTATATTTAATTAATTTTTAATTATTTTTTGTTTTTTAATTATTTTTTGCAAGAGGTGTAGCAACTTAGTGTAGTAGTCTAGTCGTCACCCTCTCCAAGTGGCAGGTCTGGAGTTTAAATCCTATAGATGACGAATTTTGAAAAATAGGCTTGTGTTTAGGTTGATGGCTATGCTTATCAGTTGGATCTAGATAAATCTGTAACTTTAGTTATACTATCTAGTTATGAGAGCTTTGGCACAATAAATCTGAGGAACCAGCATAACCGAAAACCTATTTGGGAAGTTCCAAGTTGGAGGTAACAGTGATCTTTGACGGTACTACAGAAGGGCTGAATTTGAACTGGGGCTCGAAATCAGAGAACCGAACATCCAGATTCACTAGTGAAGGACATACTAGCTGAACTGCCAGGTTGTCACACCGGAGGAAAAGGGTATATGCTCCAAAAGTATGAACCAAGAAAAGAGAATCTCAAAGGCACCTAAAGCCTGGGCAGACCAACCCTTCCGAGTTGCCGGCTAGAAGTAAGGGAGGGACCAATAGAGAATCTGAGTAAAGAGATAGTTCCAAGTATGAGTACCAGGATTATTGTAAACCAATTAGGGCAGAGGATATATGGGGTAACACCCTAGTACTAACCTAGATTTAAAGGCATAATATCTCTGAATTCTAATCTGGAAATGTGTGGGATGTAAAAAGAATTAGAAGGGCATCCACTGTGCCTGTCCTTGAGTAATACTAATGATTAATTTTAACAGGTTGCCTACTAAAAGGTCAAGTTAGTGGGGAAATGTCAACCTGGATAGTTTCTATTTAGATATTAACTAGATAAGTTGTAGTATGAGGTTATAGTGAACGACTTAGAATAGGGTAGTACAGGATTGGGGTGCCAAAGGGTTTAAATAGGTAATTTCCTAGTTGGGTTATAGGCAGTGTTTAAAATTTGATGTTCTCATGCTCTTAAAGAACATTAAAGTTTTTTTAAGAACATTAATGTTTAAAATAAAGTTCTCTTATTTGAGAACATTTTGTATAGATATAATGTTCTCAAAATATTATAATTAATATATTATAACTTTTTTTTTTACTATAATAATTTGGTTTAGGCTTTTAAACAAAGTTGTAGACAAGAACTTACTAATTTCAATAGCTCTTTAAATACTAAAATTGGCCTAGTAAATTATGATATATATATTAATTTTTGTAACTATGTTTTTTTTTACAAATTTGCAAAATTTTTATAAATATAAAAGATTGAATAAATATAATTAGTTTAATCAATTTTAGTGCTTCAAGTATCATTGAAATCAGAAAGTCATATCTATAATTTTACTTAAAAAACCAAAAATAAGTTTATACAATAAAAATATAAGCTTATTTTAAAAAATAATATTCTATATAATGAGAATATTAAAAAATTTTTGAGAACATTAATTCTCTAAACTTAGTTCACATAAGAACATAATTTTAAATCTGAATTTTAAACACTGGTTATAGGTATGGCAGCTAGTGTAGAACCTCGGGCGGACTACTTAAATAGGCACTCAAAAGGTACATGTGTGGCTAGTTGTACTCTCATATGCTAAAAATGTACTACTATATATAAGTATTTGTAATGTTACTATAGTAACAATATTTATATCTAATAAAAGTCGGCCATGGCGGTATTTGGCAATATAAAAAAAAAAAAATTATTTTTTGCATGCTTAATATAATTTATTTTATTATTTTCTAATTTTTTAAAATTTTTAATTACTTTTTTATATATATAATTTAATTTAACTAATTATTTATTTACTGTATTCCTCCGAAAATAAGCACTTCTTTTTTGCTATAAGGGTGCTTATTTTCGAGTATAAACTCAACTAATAATTTGAATGATTTGATATTTAGTTACTTATTTCTATTATATGGGAGATGCTTATTTTTGGGTATATATGAATTGTGAGGGTGCTTACTTTCGGGAGGTGCTTATTTTCGAAGAAATACGGTATTTGTTTTTATTTTTTTAAGTATTTTTTGTATATTTAACTTATTTAATTTTACTTTATTTTAATGATTTTATATTTTATTTAATTTCTTTAAATATTATTTAATTATTTTATTTTATATATTCTTATATTTTATTTAATTTAATTTAATTGATGATCCTTCAGTCAACTGAAGAATGATCATAGTAAAATGTGACTCAGATTACTATATAAATTTACTA